GAATCCCTACCCCGCTTGTGAGAAGGTAAATCCTTCATCTTTCGTGGTTTTCCAGTCGTGTACGTCCGTTTTAGACTCAGATTTCAGGGATTTAGGGGGTTTCAGTCTAAGACTAGTGAATGTTTGGTTAGATAGAGAGGTGGTGGCCCTTCATCGGAGTCAGAACCGCGGTGGTTCCATGATGTTTGGGTAAGTGAAATAAAATGGGTTTAAGGATAGTAAGGGTTTAGATTTGAGTTTTGGAGAGGATTCTTTTGAGTGGGTTTTGACCAGAGTCGATTTCTGGCCTTTTAGGCTCCTCATCGGGGCCATTTGGCGGCGGAGGCCACGGCGATTGGGGGATTCAGTGAGGGTTGAAGAAGAAGAGGGAAGAGGCGAGAGAGATAGAGAGAACGGCTGGGGGGGGGTTTTCATCTGTTTAGTTGAGAAGAAACGAGACTAGGGTTAGGGGTATACCCTGATGTCTCGTACGCCAAAACGGCGTCGTCCCGTTTAGTTCCAGAACGGCGTCGTTTAGGTGGCCGTGAAACGGCGTAGTTTTGTGCAGATCCAGAAACGCCCGCGTTTTGCTAGGGAGGGGTTAATGTGAGCGTGGCCATCCCAGTTTTGTTTCAGTTCGTTTTGATCCTTAAGCCGAGCTTTATTGATATTTTGATTTCGCCTCGTAATTTCCAGCTTTTTACATTTCAGTCCAGAATCATGCAAGGGTTGTTTTCGTGATTGTTATACATTGGATATGTAATTTTGGAAATATTCATTTTGATCCTATGTAAAGCTTTGGTCGTATTATGTTGGCAGTACCTTGAAATGAAATGTTTAGGAAAGGAGTATGCTGTTTATTTTTCTTTTTATTTTAGCCCTTGTTTAACCTGTTAATTGGTATGCTCAATTTTGGTTTTATTCACATTTAGTCACTCCTTTAGTATATGTATATCTATGTATTCAAATTTGTAATGTTGCACGTCATGTTTTTATTAATATATTTAAGTCATGTTTGTACATCGTATGTTAACATGCGAGGTTTGTATTTTTTTTAATTAAAATATGTATATAGTTTTTTTATTTATTCTTTTTATTTATTTCAAATTACATGATATTTTGATCATAATATTTATTACTCTTTGCATGACATTCAATCAGCATAATTTGCATGATAGCCTCACGTGAATAACCCGATCTGATCACATAATCGGAATTAAGGGTAATACCCTTTTAATCTAAAATTATCAGAATGGCTTTTCTTAACTTACAGGAAAGTTGTTTTGATGATTTTAAATTAAAATGGTATCCCGTCAGTAACGCCTAATTAAGTTTGGATATATCATTGTAAAATTTGGGAGCGAAAGAAAAGGAAATATTCGACTATTTAAACTTTTCGAGAAAAGGTCGTTAGAACTGAACTAAAGATCTGGTCTCGATATTTTTAGATAATCGAATATTCTTTATCTTTCTAATGACTTGGTAATTTTAAATTAAATCTATTTTGTTGCTTTGAATGTTGCAAAATTTGCATGATTGTTGTTTAAAGGGATCATTAATCAAATCAAATTTGAACTTGTGAAATTCGTTGCAAAGAAATTAATTAATCGACTAGGTACCGATTTAGGGCGTTGTGGGGGTGCTAATCCTTCCCCACGCGTAACCGACTCCCGAACTTGGATTTTGGTAACGTAGACCGTAAATTTGTCGTTTTAATTAAAATTGATTTTTATTTAAAATGACAATGTTTTTTGGGTGCCCAATCACACCCTAATCAAAGATTGGTGGCGACTCCTCGAACCTTATATTCTTATCGTAAAGGAATTTCTAATTTTTCGAAACGAGAGGTTTTCTAAAATCGCACTGTTTTTTAATTAAAAATCCAATTGAAAAGATAATACTTAAAAATGACGCGGTTTCAAAAATCTCGCCCCGCCCCCGGTAAAAAAAAATCGTTTCGACATTTGTGTTTTGACCTCAATTGCATATCCTTAGGTTTTGTTTTTGTGAGCTAAATCTTTGTAAACACCAACCTAGAGAGGTCTTCTTGTTTACACATTTCTTATCATTTGTAAAGGGGTTTTGGTTCTAGTTTAGCCAAGTGAAAAACTAGGAAGTTGTAAAGGTTAATCTTGATTCTTGAAAAAGAGAACAAATTAATGGATTTGTTGGAAAATCCTAAGTGAGAAAATTCGGTAGTGGATGTAAATTTTATTGAGGAAGTTGAACTACTATAAATCATTGTGCAAATTTTCCTACCTTTATACTCCTTACACCCTAAATTTCAAAAAGTTAATTTACCCCCTCTTGGCACATTTTCAATTGATCGATCGAGCTAATAAAGTTCGAACTCGAACTCGAATAAGAAGAGTTTGGATTAATATATCTGTACACCCTTAACCCGTATACGTATCCGAATACGAGTCAATGATGTCGCATAGCTTTACATACATTCTAAAATTGAAAATCCAGTAAAATTTTGAACTTTTGAAAATTATCCAATTTAATCATTTCAATAGAAAATGATCGTGAAAAACAACCCACGTCTACGGACAATCAAATCATATCATCTTGTTGTTTCTAATTTAATATTTGAGTGACAAGAAACAAAAAATATATATTAAAATTGAGTGATTAAATCCATTTTTTTAAAAAATTCAATAACCAAAATAAAAATTTCATCAAAATTAAGTGATAAAAACGTTATTTACTCTAAATATAAATAACATGAACGTAAGATCGTCAAATATTTTCTATGGAAAAGTGATTATTATTCATTTGTCGTCATTGATTAAAAAAATAATATTTAAGTTATTTATATTATTGATTTTTTAATCTTATGAGATTAGTTGATGTTTATTTTGATTATGTGACATGTTAATATAATGATAATTTTTTAATTTGATCTTTGGAATTGAGATAAAGTGCCGATTTAAATCTTAAATTTTAAATAAAATGTTAATTTAACCCTCTTCATTGTCTCCTGTCGTAGACAGTGACCGGAGACGGTAGTGAGCAATGACCGACGACATCAATTTTAATCAAATTGTATTTTATTTAAAATTTAAAAATTAAATTTAAAATTTACTTTTTTAAAAAATATATAACGTAAATAAAAAACGTCTGAGTCTAGGGTTCGAACTTTAAAAATGACAAAAGTGAAGTGGAAAAAGAAAATCGGAGGAAGCCAAAGTTAAATTAATACTATATTAATTTAAAGCTTTCGACAAACTGTCCTCTAGCATGTAAGTGTGCCTTAAAAAGGGAAATTTTAGATTAATCTTTACTTGTATCTACTTGGAGGATACTCATAGTTGAAGAGAGTGGAGGTGTTTAATTGATTAATTGAGTTAATCGACCGAATTAAATTACTCAAAATTTATTAACCGAATTTTTTTCTTTCTTTTAATAGTTAACCGAATCAATTTTTTCTCAAAAAAAATTAACAAAACTGAATTAAATTTGATTAATCAGTCGGTTAACTGAATTAACCAAAATTTATAATAATATATAAATAATATATAGTCTACATTAAATATTTAATATCTCCGGTTAAAACAAAATTTAAACACCCCTGAAGCTAAATAGTAAATAAATAATATATTAAATATTTAATAATTTCAGTTAATTCAGTTAATTAACTAATTTCGAACCTAATTAATCGATAACCGATGTTTGAAAAAAAAATCATTAATCGTTAATCGATCAAACCCAAAATTAATCAACCGATTAACAGACCGAAATTTTGGTTAGATCGATTAATTCCGTTTTAACCAATTAGAACACCCCTAGGAGAGAGAGGGAGAGATACTTTCAAGAAGCCTTTAATTTGTAATCCCCAACGTTTTATTCTCTATGGCCTTTGCTTTGCATATACCTAAGCACCTTTGCCATTTCCTCACATGCACAATGATATATACAAGGTCAATACTAAAGAAGATTCTGAAATATTTTTTATACCAAACAGTTATTTATATCATGATCATATGTCACCTTCTTAACGTCAGACGATTGAGTATGTAATTCTTTTAATAAAGAAAAATTCGAGTTTTCAAATTAATATTTGATCCGAAAGTAGATCGAGTTAGAAATGTCACATAATAAACATTTATAATATTTGATCCGAATTAATTAATAAATTGAATATCAGTGATTAATTACAAGAAAAATTGAATTTCGATGTCATCGAAAAGAGTTAAATATATTTGGATTCGAATTTCAAACTTATTCAACGCCACCACTTAATTAAAACTAGAGGTGATGATAGTTCTTGTTGGATTATACTTGGTATGAAATTAATACACTTCATGCTTACTCACGGTCAAGATAAAATATGGGATTCATTTTTTTCCCAAACCTATATAAATTTATAAATGGTTAAATTCAAACTCATTTTTTTCAAGTTATCCTTAATTTATATTTTCCTTTTAGATTTAAGAGGTTATGAAGGCTTTTCCTTGACTAATCTGGACAGATCCGGGTCACATACTCGACTTTAGTAGGTGAGTCTCTTAGCGGGAATTTTTTGCATACACAAAAACTCAAACTTGAGACCTGCTTAAGCGATATGAAGTTGTTTAGTTAAATATAATTAATATTTGTTCTAAATACTATCAATCATTTGATAACGAACGTTCAATCACCCTATTGTAGCCACTGATGCTCCAACCCATGACCTATAAGAACAACAACAATTTCTTTAACCACTGAGGTAAGTTGGTTCGTTCCATCATTTAAACGGGATCTAGAAGATTATAAAAGTAAACTATAATTTTAATTATGTATTGTATAATCTCAATATATATATATATATATATATAAGATTTATAATTTCATACCAACTTCAATATGCTTCATCTTTATATATATTAATTTTGGCCATTTCTCCTTTATATTTTAGACAGTGGAAATAAAGGCCTTAATCAGACATGAAACGAGAAAATAAGAAAGACTTTCAAGATACATAAATTAAGAAGCCAATGACACAGTAAGATTCTTATTGGCGCCCACCATTGTCAACTTCATGTCTTCTTGCTCTTCTTCTCTTCGATTTCCAGCAGTTCTTCAAGCAGATTATCATCCAAATACTCGATTTCGAACACCTCTTTCCCCATTGTTGACGATGAAGAGGACGATGAACCGACGGAAGACGAGCGACAGTAAGCATTATAAGCAGCGACGCCATTAGCCATGGGATACTCATGCGGAAAATTAAGAATAGCATAGTGACCTCTCATGGCATAAGCGGCTCTATCATAGGCTCGAGCGGCCTCCTCGGCGGTTTCAAATGTCCCGAGCCAAACACGAGCTCCCTGCTGGTTAGGGTCTCGTATCTCCGCCCCGAACGTCCCCCAAGGCCGGCTACGTACGCCTCGGTATCGACTAGTCTCGGCTGATCTTCCGCCTTGCAGCTTGTCATCCTTGCCCTTAAAATTACCCTCCATTGCCAAGCTCGAATCTCAGGCTGGTTGTGTTATCTGCATGGCTGATATATGTTAGAGGGGATTTATATAGATTGAAAAAAAGTAGAATTCTTAAACTTGAAAGAATCCATTGACAAAAATTATTTTCACGTGCTTATGAGAAACTTCGGATGGCCAAGGTGGATCATTGGGATACTTTTTGTTGTACTCTTTTTTGGCTAAAGGAAAGATGGGGTTTCAATGAGGTCATTCTGCTTACGATAGCTTTATCATTGGGCACTTCCTCTAATCAAGCTTTGTGTTACATGCATGTTTACTTCACTTTGATTACTATTCTATTTTTTAAGTATTAAGGTAAAATGCTCTCTAGTTGGATGAAAATATTAGTTGAGTAACGATCAACACATATCGTTGACATGATATTGCATCGTGTTCGATGTAATGATGTGACACATGTCACGTGTAGAAGGTGATAATATGCCACATATAGAAAGTGATGGCATGATATTTTTACGTAAGTAACAAGCGTTGACCGTTAGTCAATTAGTATTTTGGATAAATTATGTGTTTAGTACATGAATTATCAGTTTTGGTCCGTTTTAGTGCCTAAACTTTTAATTTTTTAAAAGCATGTCTAAAGTTTAATTTTTGTTTCATTTTATTACGCCGCTCAAAATTTAACGTTAAGTTTAAAAAAATTGAAAGTTTAGGTGCTAAAATGGACCAAAATTGATAGTTTAGGTACTAAATGCGTTAAGTTTTTAACGATGGGTACTAAAATGAAACAAAAACTAAACGTTAGGTATGATTTTGAAGAAATCGAAAGTTTAGGTACTAAAATTGACCAAAATTAATAGTTTATGTACTAAATACGTAGTTTACCCTAATATTTTTCATTTCATTGGAGATTTTTATCTCAAAATGAAACTTTTAGGGTCAAAATACTTCCGATAAAAGAATAGAAAGTAAAATGGCATTTTAATTAAACGTAACGTCTTCTTGAACGTCATACAATTTTGTTTATTAAAAGCATATATATGCGTATATATTTCACCGTGGTCGAGATACTCAAAGAAAAAAAAACAGTTATTTGTCTCCCTTGATTCTGGTTGCTTTGCATATATCTCACCAACTTTTTTATTTTATCACATGCAAAATGATGGAAAATAAATTAAAAAAAAAAAGAATATTCTGAATAATACCAACACTAAACATTGTTTTATATCATCTGAGGTCACTTAACGTCGTTGGGATAATTAAAACATAATTTCCAAATAATATTTAGGGATAATTGATAGTTTCTTACATCTCAACTTTGAACATACATATTACATGATCTGCATAAATCCATGCTAATGGCATCCATGCCATGAATAAAACATCATCATGACATGTGCCAACTTATTTTATACACTAAACTATCTATATTTTGTTGATGATCTTCTAAATTTTGGCACTTAATTGCCATTGCAGATACTTGATGGAGAAAGATGATTATGGTTGATGTTCATAGCCTGGTTTGTGCTCATGTGGAGGCTTGCCTTCTCGTCTCATAACATCTTGATTGGGTTGCTTATGTGGTTTGAGTAGCGCTAGAAGGCTTCGGGGCGGAATCTTCCGGTGCCGCATGATTAGCGGCACTCGTTCCTGTTGTTTCTGGACGTAGAACGACTCCGAAGGTCTGTCGCCGTCGACCTTTCGTAGTTCCGATGGTTTGAATACCCTACCTTTGGAGGGTTTTATCATATGGGCGAATGGACTCATCGATGGTGGATTCGCCAGTAGACTTCTTACCATCTCTCCCGGTTTCTCCCCTTTCTCACTGACGTTGTCTCTTATAAGTTTTCCGGGGTTCTCTCCCTCGTTATCCGAGGATTTTTCACCACCGAACGGACTCTCTTCTTCAACTTTGTCTCCCGATAATCTTCCCGGCTTCTCCCCCTCATTTTCAGGTGATTTTTCACCAGCGAGCGGACTCTCTTCTTCGACTTCCCCTTGTAGAAGGTGCCTCATATTATGATCATGCAGCGGGATCGGATTTTGTTTCAAAGCTTTCTCACCGTAAAACGGAGTCGGCGGTTTATCGGCATGGGATGCTTTGGCTACGAAAACAATCGTCATTCCGAGGAGAAACAAGTGCAAGCATGAAAGTTTAGACATCTTTAAGATCATTGGTGTTTCTTGCAGTGCAAGGAAATTGGTTCAGTTGGTTCCCTCTTATAATGAATGAAAGGCGTTGAAGCCTTGTCTTGATCACACAGGTGCCACAAATTGAGATTTTAAAGGCCATAACCCAAGGTCAAAGTGCCCTTGAATATCTAGGCATAGAGAGATTGAAATTTGGACATTTACAATTGTAAAAGTCTTATTAAATATTTTTTACTATTATTATTACGTTAGAGAATGCATTGGTCGAATAATTAAGATAGGATATCCTTTCAATCCAATTTATTTCATCCACAACCTTAGTATTTCAACTATAATCTTATATAAAGAATCGAATTTACATTCCGTTAGATTAATTGATAGTTGATATTAATACTATGTTTTTTAGTTGCGATAAATGTGACATTTAAGTAAAGTTAAAATTTGAGTTATTTAAAAAAATAATAATTGAATTTTGAGTAAAGTATATAAATGTTCTCGACTATAGAGTATTGTTTTGTTGAGTACTTTTACTATTATTAAATGTTGCAAAATAGTCAAATATAAGGTATTGTTTTGTTAAGTCCCCGAGTATTAAAAGTGACAAAATTGTCACCTGACTATTCATATATTCTAAACTCGTCATTTTTTGTAAAAAAATGTGGTGATCTTCTGAAATGGATATTGACATGTTAAATGTGATATGATAAAATCTTATCCCAAAACCGTTTGAGATGTATTTTCTGGATCGACTATCCGTTTATATTATATCGTCAAGCCAATGCTTAAAGCATCATGTTGTCAAGACATCATTAAAATATGATTTTTTTTCTCATATATCAGTCAGTAGGTTAACGTCCAACTCAAATAATCGTTAATTTTTTAAAATGAAAAGGACGAGTTTGAAACATATGAATAATCAGATGACCAATTTGTAACTTTTAATAGTCGAAAGACTCAACAAAACAACATCCAATAGTCAGAGAACCATTTTGTGACTTCTAATAATCGAGGGACTTAATAAAAGAACATTCTATAGAAAAGGGGCCATTTGTATATTTTACCCTTAATTTTTAACTAGTGTTTGCAGGACTAGAAACCTAATTGAAGTTAAAAATTTGTCATATGACCTAACTAAAAGCTTAACATGAAGTTAATTTTTTTTATCGTAGGACCTAATTAAAATGTTTAAATGAAGTTTTGATGTTTTCTTTTATCAAGCCTATGTGGTAAAGGAATTGTTATTATTCTTTAAGGATTCGAGTTCGACCATCATAGAACTCTTGACGAAAGATTAAAAGTTTTTTTAACAAATACTACATTGCATTTTTCTTAAATTAATAAAAAATACTGAGATAAAAAAAAGAGATTACAAAAAATATTTTAAAAATTAATTATAAATTTTAAAAAGTAACTTTTGAAAAGTATTTTCTATTGTTTCGTTTGGGGGAAAATTCTCAAATGGGGGTTGAAAAAAATAAAAGAAAAATAATTTCAGTGACTGAAAATGCTTTATAATATACGATTTTAACCAATTTTTTTTTGGATTTGCAAAAATAACCAATAAAATCGCAACACGAACTCCAATTTCGCAACACAGTTTCTAAATTCGCAACTCGAACATGAAAATTTTCGTAACGCTAATTACCGATATAGGTAAACACAACCATCCGCAATGCGAATTCGCCAATTTCGCAACTCAATTACCGATATAGGTAAACACGGTAGAAAAAATCCGGTCAAAAATCCGAATTCGTCAATTTGAAAACTGAGTTACGAATTTGGTAAATTCGTGTTGCGCGCATCTTAAAGAAAAAAAATCATTTTGACGGTTCGTTTGTTTGGTTAAAGTTAAACGAACGAACATGAACATACCCTCGTTCGTGTTTGTTCAATTCATTTACAGACGTATGTTTAGTTGAGTGATTCATACGTGGACTTAGCAACTGAGATGTCCCATGTTGAAAATCACTCCAGTGCATTTTATGTCCTTTAATTTTTTCTTTAAGAGACAAGATTTTACATTTCGCAACACGAATTTGCCAAATTCGCAACTCAGATTTCAAATTGTCGAATTCAGATTTGTTTACCGGATTTTTTCTGCCGTTTTACCTATATCGATAATTGAGTTGCGAAATTGGCAAATTCGATTTGCGAAATTCGAATTGCGAATAGTTGTGTTTACCTATGTCGGTAATTAGCGTTGCGAAAATTTCCATGTTCGAGTTATGAATTTGGAAAATGTGTTGTGAAATAGGAGTTCGCGTTGCGAATTTGTTGGTTATTTTTGCAAATCCAAAAAAATTAGTTAAAATCATATATTATAAGGCATTTTCGGTCACTAGAGTTATTTTCTCTAAAAATAATTGGCTCGTATAATATCTTAGTGAAATTGTTTCTTGAGATGGTAAAAAAATCCTACATGAGCCAATCATTTTTTTCACTGTCCTACATGAGATTTAGTAACATTTTCAAAAGTTATTACTAAATATGATAAATAATATTATTTATTATAAAAAATTTAATATTATTATTTCTAAAATATTAGAGTGATTTAGTGATTATAATTTATGTCAACATTATTATTAGTGTAAAATATACCCCATATCATTTAATTATTATTTTTTATTAAGTTAAGGTGATTACAAACTAATATCTATTATAAATACTTTTAATCATTTGACAATGACTGCTCAATAATCTTGTTGCAATCGTTGGTGCTCGAACTCATGACCTCTACGAACAACAACGATTCCTTTAATCACTGAAGTAAGTTAGTTTGTGTCACTCAATTATTACTTTAAGGCAATTTTTAAAAAAAGTTACAATATAATCACTCGATTAAAATAATGTTATAATTATGTTATTCTATTACTAAAATTAAAACATGTGCCTAATGTGATATGATATAGTAATAATTTTAGTCTCTAAAACATATATATTCTATCAATTTGGTCATAATTCAAAATGATTTAATAAATTTAATCATTCATATTTAAAAATTCTATCAATCTAAACGTTTATGTGATACTATCAAACCAAGTGAATCTATCATATCAAAGCAATAATTAGATAATTGAATTTTACTGTAAAGAGACAGTAAATTATTGCTAAATTGTTATTATATCAGAAAAGAAATTTAATTTTTTTTTGGAGAATAACGAGGAGCTTAGAAAAAGAGCATAGACTATATTGATAGATTTTTTTAAAATATGAATGATTAAATTTCTTGAATTATTTCAAATTAATGTATAAACTTTGGGATTAAAATTGTTCTTATACCAGACCATGTCATTACTATGTTTAATATTTAACGATCAGTGACATATTTATAATAATTTTTAATCGAATAATTAAATTATAATTTTTGGAAAAATAACTTATTTATAGTCGAATTAATAATTTACAACAATACATTGTACATAAATTCAAGCCCTTTTTTATTGTCTTGATTATTAAATACAATTAATTTAATTCTAATTAGATGAATTTAAATTTTGATAATTCCAGTGATTATAATTTAAAATTTTATATTTAAAATTCAAGTTTTTATAAATTTAATTCATTATTTTTAAAAAATAAAAAATATAATAAAAATAAATTCTAAATAAATACAATTTTCAAAATTAACCAAGCCTTTCCCTTTTCTTCTTCATCTCCCCTCCCTCCCTCCCTCCCTCTTATTATTATCATTATTATTATTCACTAGAAAAAAAAATATTCGTATTCACTTTAAATTTAAAAACAACAACAACAAATCAAGTAGTTGAAAAGAGTTAGAATCTAATTTTTCGTAATCTTTTCGGCTTCTCCCTCTTCGAGGCACTAATGAAGAAACTCAATTCTTAAGCCTCTTCTTTTTTGCTTCAAGAGGTTTTTCATCAAGAAACGAACTTTTTGCTTTAACATCGTCTCCCAATAACCTTCTTCCCGGCTTCTCTCCCTCAACATCAGGTGATTTTGCACCAACGAACAAACTCTTTTCTTCAACGTTGTCTTCCAGTAATCTTCTTTTTGGCTTCTCTCCCTCATCATCAGATGGTTTTTCACTGGCAAATAGACTTTCTGATTTAACATTATCTTCTAGTAATCTTCTACTCAGTATTCCTCCCTCAACATCAGGTAGTTCTTCACCGGTGAGTGGACTTTTTACTTCAACTTCGTCTCCTTGTAATTTTCTTTTCGGCTTCTCTCCCTCGTCATCATATGATTTTTCATCGATAAACCATTTTTTTGATTTAACGTTGTCTTCTAGTAATCTTCTTTTTGGTTTCCCTCCCTCATTATTAGATGGTTTCTCATCAGTAGATGAACTTTCTGATTCAATAGGTGGATCTTCTGCATCAGATGTTTTTTCATCGGCGGATGGACTTTCTGTATCAACACTAGGTGGATCTTCATCAGGTGGTTTTCACCAAGGAACAGACTATAAAATTCAACGTCCTGACTTATTGCTTCAACATCGTCTCCTGGATTATCTCCTTCATCATTATATGGTTTTTCACCTGTTGACGGACTTTCTGATTCCACATCGTCTTCTAGTAATCTTCTTTTCGACTTATTTCCCTCACCCTCAAATGATTCTTCACTGGAGGACGAACTTTCTGGTTCAACATTATCTTCAAATAATCTTCTTTCTGGCTTCTTTCCCTCATCGTCAGATAATTTTTCATCGACATAAGGACTTTCTGATTCAACATCTTATTGAAAATTCAATGTTGAATTTGGCAAATGGGCGACTGGTAAAGCAAATGGGACGGCTGCTTAGAATTCAAAGGTGGGCTGCCAATTTTTTTTGAAAATAGAAATATGATTATTTACATTTTAGTCCCTACACACTTTAGGGTATTTACAAGATTAGTCCTTAAGCTTCAACTATAAATACCCTAGCCCATTTAGCTTCAAAATCATCTCCAAATCAGTCTAACTCTCTCTCAAGTGTTTTTGTAAACACCTGTAATTTTTCTCCCTTTAATAAAAAATCTGCAGCAGTCCGGAGACGTAGACATAATTGGTTGAACTCCGTTATGAATTTCGGGTATTATTTTTTCGCTTTTATTTCGCATTCTCACTAATCTGGTTATAGCGAAATTACTCATTTTTTTCTCAACAACTGGTAATAAGAGCTTTTGGTTGTGAATTTTGTCAATTTTTTGTGAGGTTACTATTCATTACTATTCACATGAATAGTAAATTTCGTGAATAGTGAAAAATTTGTCGGCAATACAAATTTATCGACGAAGGTATTCGAATACACGGTGGTTCGCAGAAATTGTCAAAAAACGATTTAAACGAAGCCAAATTCGAGTGAGAGTGATGGCTGCAGACGAAGGGAATGTGGAAATTGAGAAGTTAGATGGTGCGCTCAAGACCTTTTTGGAAGGACTTAGATCAGGGGCAGTGCTCGGGAGAGAGCAAGATGATGCCCAGAGACTTTCAGAGGCCATAGTTGTAGTCGTTAAGCTGACTGAGCTTGCAGGTGTCAAACCAAGTAGCAATGTGTCGTCCAGGCCCATGCCCAGAGATAGTGGCAATAATGGGGGAGACCGGGAAAATGTGCAGCGGGGAGATGGTAGAGGAAGCTCTTCAAATGATCAATGTGAGCCATCAACTGTTAATAGTCAATGAAAGCAATCGGGAAAGAATAGCAAGGCTAAGTCCGGTGCGAAGAAGAAGGTGAGCAAAGAAAAGTTAAAGTGCTACTTCTGTGATGGTCCTCATTTGATTAGAGGATGTCCCGAAAAGCGTCACCTTGCAACCATCATGAAGAGGATGGAAGAAGGAGAAATAGCGGGAATTGGCGCAGTTGCAAGTGTTAAAGCTGCCAAGCCAAGGAAAAGACTTGGTTCGATTGAGGGGATCAATGCGGCCAAGCAAGGAACGAGTCGAGGCAATGTTGTTGGTGTTAAGACAGCCGAACCCAGAAGAAAGCCCGATGCGATTGCGAGTGTTCAAGTAATCAAGGCAGGGGCAAGACTTGATGAGGCTACATGTTCCAAAGTAGCTGAATCAAGAGGCAAGAATGGTGTGACTACAAGTTCACAAGTAGTAAATCGAGGAGCGAGGCGTGGCGAGACTGTAGGTGTCAAAGCAGTCGAACACAGGAAAGGACCCGGTGTGATAGCAAGAGATAAAGCCGTCAAGCCGAGGGTGCAAAGTGAACATGTTCATTCACAATATGCCAGGATGGAGGCGTGGTCCAAGTTGAGGCGTCTCAGGCATAAAGGGACACTTAAGGAGCATGTGAGCCGATTTAGAAGACTCATGCTCAAAGTCCCAAGTCTGACTGAAGAAGATGGTTCTTCACCTTCATGTTCGGATTGAAGCCATGGGCAAAGAAAGTGTTGGAGCGAAGGGAAGTCAATGAGTTATCTAAAGCCTTGATAGCCGCTGAGTCTATCAAAGAATTTGGAGTCAAGAAGAACAAGACTTCCAAAGCAAAGCCGAAAGCCGAGGATAGCAACAAGAGATTCCGTAATGAAGGCAAGTTAGAGGATGTGGAATATTGTTACTCGAGTAGTAGAGAAAGTCCACTCAATGATGAACCAGATGGTGGATCTGGTGAAGATGTGTGCAGACTTGGCATAATTTCAAGTGTCAAAGATGCTAAGCAGAGGGTAAGAGTTGAGCAAACAAGGGGGCACAGACTCATGGTGCCAGAAGTGTTGCGAGATTGCCCAAGGGGAGCCGAGTCATCCAAGGTGATGGATGAGCCCATGATCGAGTTGTCCAGAGAAGAGGATGAACCCAAGATCGAGGGGGCGTTAAGAGTTGGCTCAATACGATTAATTTTTGCCAAGGTAAGTAGAAGCCAAGTGCAGGAGGAGTTAGCCATGTCCAAGGAGTTTGTCGAGCATGTTTGAGTAGAGAACATGGCTTCAGAGACCATCATAAGAGAATGGTCGAAGCAGGGGCTTGCCAAGGATGTTCAAGTGAGGAACAATCCTTCAAAGACTAGTATACAAGAGTCGAAGGGAGCCAAGACGTTGAGGGACAAGGCAACCACGGTGAAACTGCCCAATAACAAGTGGGTTTACAGGGCGGTGACTACAGACAAACTGAAGTTGTGTTCAGCTTCAGTTGGCATGCTAGAATAACAAGACCAGAAATGCTGCTGTATTGATCAAGGTGTAAAGATAGATTAAAATCAGTCTTCAAGTGGGAGATTGTTGAAAATTCAATGTTGAATTTGGCAAATGGGCGGCTGGTAAAGCAAATGGGGCGGCTGCTTAGAATTCAAAGGTGGACTGCCAAATTTTTGTCGAAAATAGAAATAGGATTAATTATATTTTAGTCCCTATACACTTTAGGATATTTACAAGATTAGTCCTTAAGCTTCAACTATAAATACCCTAGCCTACTTAGCTTTAAAATCGTCTCCAAATCAGTCTAGCCTCTCTCAAGTATTTTTGTAAACACTTGTAAATTTTCTCACTTTAATAAAAGATCTGCAACAGTCCGGAGATGTATGCATAATTGGCTGAACTCTGTTATCAATTTCGGGTATTATTTTTTTGCTTTTATTTCGCATTCTCACTAATCTGGTTATAGCGAAATTACTCGTTTATTTCCCAAAACATCTTCCTCTAGTAATCTTCTTCTCATTTTCTCTCCCTCAATAGTAGGTGGTTTTTCACTAGCAAAATGACTCTCTTCCTCAACATTAGGACTTTTTGCTTCATCATTGTCTTCTAGTAATCTTCTTTTTTACTTCTCTCCCTCGTCATCAAATTGTTTTTCATTGACAGGCGGACTTTTTGATTCAACATCTTCTAGTAATCTTCTTCTTCTCATCTTCTCTCCCTTAACAGTAGTATGTATTTTTTCACCGGCGAAAGGACTCTCTTCCTCAACATTAGGATTTTTTGCTTCAACATCGTCTTCTAGTAATCTCCTTTTCGGTTTCTCTTCCTCATCGTCAGATGTTTTTTCACTTGTGGATGGACTTTCTTATTCAACATCTTCTTCTAGTAATCTTCTTCTCATCTTCTCCCCCTCAACAATAGATGGTTTTTCACCAGCAAAAGGACTCTCTTCCTCAACATTAAGACTTTTTGCTTCAACATCGTCTTCTAGTAATCTCCTTTTTGGCTTCTCTCCCTCATCATCTGATTAGTTTTCATCGGCAGTCGGACTTCCCGATTCAACATCTTCTTCTAGTAATCTTCTTCTCATCTTCTCTCCCTCAATAGTAAGTGGTTTTTCACCAGCGAAAGGGCTTCATTCTTCAACATTAGGACTTTCTGCTTCAGTGCCATCTTCCAGTAATTTTCTTCTCATTTTCTCTCCCTCAACAGCAGGTGGTTTTTCACCGACGAAAGGACTTTCTTCCTCAACATCAGGACTTTCTGCTTCAATGTTGTCCCCCAATAATCTTCTTCCTAGCTTCCCTCCCTCATCCTTAGGTGATTTTTCACTAGCGATCGGACTATCTGCTTCAACTTCCCCTTGTATAAGGTGCCTCCAAGTAGGTTCAAGTAGTTGGAAGGGTTTTTGTTCAAATAGCTTCTCATCGTGGAATGGAGCCACGAGTGGTTGTCCATCGTCATCGGCTGAAGAGGAAATGGCGGTGTAAACAATCACCACTCCGAGGAGAAACAAATGCAAGCAAGCTTTAGACATCTCTAAGATCATTGGTTTTTGTTGTAGTGTACTGAAATTGGTTCAGCTGCTTCACTTTATAATGGAGGAATGGCGTTGAAGTCACACTTTCCCTTCTATTTTTGAACTTTCTTCTTTGATATTCGGTAGAACAAGCCATTACCACAAATTCGAGATTTAGAAGGCCATAATACAAGGTCAAATGCATCTTTTGACAGGGTTAATCTATATTAAGTTAATTCCTCTCATGAATCTTTTGTGCATAAAAATAGTATGTATCCTTAAATATTTAGTTGCTGTGAGATCAATATTTTTGTCCTAACAAGACGTTAAATCTTTAAATAAGGTTAAAAGTTCGAATCTTGATACTGTACCAAGGAATAAAGTATATGTTATACCGAAAATAATTTACAAATCTATATTGCAAGTGATAACTATAATTGGTTTCTTTTCCTCATCTATTGCATGAACCATTGTTGGAACCCTTTGATCATTAGATGAATATGTCTGGATCGGATACGTTTCCATACTATCGGAATTACCGAAAATTTCTTCATTTGTCCCATCTAAGTTGCAGCCTGTGGGATGTCTGATCATTCTAGCTCGAGACCATCCGGTAAGCTATTGGGAGTACTCTCAAAGACCGATGGCCCGTAGAAAAAGGGTTACACACTCGTCCCCTTGAGTGTTATGCTCTCTTCTCTATTGTAACTGTTTCATTTGTGCACTCTGGAAAACTTTCCTCACACTTAGCTCCCCGAATTGAAGATTCCGTTCAATTTGGAATAGTTGAATAGATTCCTGATGGTGGAGTTGCCCCGACCTTAAGCCTACTTTTCAAATAGTCGAATAGATTCCGTTCAACAAACTCAGATAGAGCCTTATCGGCATTGCCCCAACCTAGAGACCATGCTCTTCCTAACAATGAATTTCTAGCTTGTTTTGTTTCGTTTTCGAGGCCAAATCTTCGATCAAGCATCTTCCTACGGTTCCTTTCACTAATAAGGTATAGCAAACTAGTTACTCATTCGTGCAATATATATCATGCTTGTTACACAAGTCATCTTCGAGTTCTGTTTTATTGCAGTATCAAGAACGAACCGAGCCAGATTACGCAAACTAGTTACTCATTTGTGCAATATATATATCATGCTTGTTACACAAGTCATCTTCGAGTTTCGTTTTATTGCAGTATCAAGAACGAACCGAGCCGGATTACATGATATTCTGTTCAAAGTTACCCGCAACAGGCAGCAATCTCCATGGGGGAAGAAGTGGAATGGGTTCCATTTGCATGTTCAAGCACTTGTCCCAATACACGTCGAACGTCGTAAAAGCTCGCCCCGTCTCATCATATATCTCCCATGGTTCATATAACAGATCTGCATTATAGCTTTGCACAGAAATGCCAACTTCTGCCAGTTTCTCTTTGACGTTATGATCTCGAACTAACGAAACCGGATCTGGGAAAGAATAGCACATGTAACTCATAAGTATCTTCTAATAATAAAAATCATATCATCAGAGGAATCAGAGTATACCATAAAGATGGTTGAACACGACTTTAGTCGCACAGGTAGCGCCAATGCACTCCAAAAGAGCTGAAAGAGTACTATATGTCCTGATCAGCACAGGTTCCGAACCAAGAGACTTCAAAGTCTGCTCCAAATGAGAAAGAGACTGCTTCAGCCACCATTGCGATACTCGACGGCGATAGAACTGCTCTTCCTCATCGGAACACCATATATAGACCGCGGCGGCGGCCAAAGCAGGATTATCTTCAATCCTAAGGTCTCTACTAAACCGAACTATTGTCTTATTGCTGCTGGTACTAATACTCATGTTGAAACTAACAAGATCTTCCCAATGAGACCGATGTGTTCAGATTCATAAACATGAACATCAACCAAGTTCTAAGTACCACAGATTTATGCTACACAAAACAACTCGAATTTGAAACAAAACCCAGATTTTCTAAGCAATCAAAAGTACCTGTCTCAATTGATCCTTGCCCTATATGTCTCAATGATCCCCCCAATTCTACCAATCAAAAGCATCAGAAGCTTACAAAATATCCCCAAAGCCAATACCTTTGATGAAGATCTCCATTAAAAAACCAGTAGAATAGACAAGCAAACAACCTCAGCAAATCCTTAAAGCACTATATATATAGAGAGAGACACCACACACACAGTGGAGTATCAGATTTAGTATAATGATATTTTTAGTGATTTTAATTCATTTACAAGCAACTTGTTGATTGAATCAAAACATTTCTCACTAGCTGCCATTTTCATGATGATCATACAGGAAACCATAACAGTTGTCACAGTTGTAGTTATTCTCTTCATGTGATTAGGTGAAATTTTGTTGTTAATCCCTGTGCTATGAGTAAGTTTTGGAGTTAGTCCTTGCACTCGAATCCGTTCTATGTCAATCCCTGCACTTTACGGATTTTAAAATTTTCAGACTAGATTCAAACAATATGAGTAAAATATGACTAAATTACTTAAACTAAAAATGATCAAATTAGAAACAAAAATTAAACCCAGAAGTGCAAAAACGGTTCGAGAAAGGCCTAATTAAAATTTCAAAAAACTGGAGACATAATTGAAATTTTCAAAAAAAATTCTATTGACTGTTGGTATAGCACTTTAGTAAATTTATCTTGATTGTTATAGAGATATAACAGTTTTTATAAGTCATTGGGTGATGGGTGAATTACCTTCAAGAGAGAAACAACATGCCATATTAATGTTAGACAAATCGATGTTATTGTTGTGACATTTTTGATTGCATGTTCGTGTTTGACATTCCACAATCTTTCAAATTATATTGTCTCTACCTGTTCATTCGCATCAATCATGCAAATATTATCTTTTGGTTTTTAGTTTGTACCATACAATATTGATAGTAACATTAGGTTTTGTGGATATAATATGCGATGCATTAGTTGCATCCACTTTTATTACTTGGCAATGATAGTTTATTTTTGCGTTGAATGCTATTACATTATTCAAAACATCAAAATTAGGTGATTTTTCACCAGCGAAGAGATTCTCTTATTTAACATCAGGACTTTTTGCTTCAACGTCGTCTCCCAATAATCTTCTTTTCGGCTTCTCTCCCTCATCATCAGATAATTTTTCATCTGTAGACAGACTTTTTGATTCAACATTAACTTCTAGTAACCTTCTTCTCAGTTTCTCTCCATCAATAATAGGTGGTTTTTCACCAACGAACGGACTTTCTTCCTCGACATCAGGACTTTTTCCTTCAAGGTCATCTCCAAGTAGTATTCTTTTCGACTTCTCTACCCCATCATCACATGGTTTGTCACCGGTGGATGAACTTTCTGATTTAACATTATCTTCTAGTAACCTTCTTCGCGACTTCTCTCCATCAATAATAGATGGTTTTTCACCAGCGAACGGGCTTTCTTCCTCAACATCAGGACTTTTTGCTTCAATGTCATTTTCCAATAATCTTCTTTTTGGCTTCTCTCCATCATCATCAAATGGCTTTTCACCGGCAGACAACTTTCTGATTCAACATCGTCGTCTAGTATTCGGCTTCTCTTTCTTGTCATCAGATGGTTTTGTATCAGCGGATGGACTTTCTGATTCAACATCGTCTTCTAATAATCTCTTTTTCGGCTTCTCTCCCTCATCATCTGATAGGTTTTCACCGAAAGACGAACTTTCTGATTCAACATTGTCTTCTAGTAATCTTCTTTTCTGCTTCTCTCCCCCATCATCCGATAGGTTTTCACTGGTGGACGGACTTTTAGATTCAACACCGTCTTCTAGTAATCTATTTTTCGGCTTCTCTCCCTCATCATCATATGGTTTTTCACCGGCAGACAGACTTTCTGATTCAACATCGTCTCCTAGTAATCTCCTTTTCGGCTTCTCTCCCTCATCACCATATGAGTTTTCACCGACAGAAGGACTTTCTGATTCAACGTCGTCTTCTAATAATCTTCTTTTCGACTTCTCTTCCCCATCATCATATGATTTTTCACTGACGGAAGGGCTTTCTGATTCAACATCGTCTCTTAGTAATCTTTTTTTATACTTCTCTCCCTCATCATCAAATGGTTTTGTATCAGGGGATGGACTTTCTGATTCAACATCGTCTTCTAGTAATCTCCTTTTCGGCTTCTCTTCCTCATCATCCGATGGGTTTTCATCGGCAGACAGACTTTCTGATTCAACATCGTCTTCTAGTAATCTTCTTTTCAACTTCTCTCCCCCATCATCTAATGGGTTTTCACCGGCAGGTGAACTTTCTGATTCAATATCGTCTTCTACTAATCTTCTTTTCAACTTCTTTCCCTTATCATTAGATGGGTTTTCACCAAAAGATGAACTTTCTGATTCATCATTGTCTTCTAGTAATCTCCTTTTAGGCTTCTCCCTCCCATCATCAGATGAGTTTTCACCGGTAGACGAACTTTCTACTTCAACACCGTCTTCTAGTAATCTCCTTTTCGGCTTCTCTCCCTCATCATCCGATGGTTTATCCCCAGCAGACCGACTTTCTGATTCATCATTGTCTTCCAATAATCTTCTTCCTGGCTTCTCTCCCTCAACATCATGTGATTTTTCACCATCGTATGAACTTTCTGCTTCAACGTTGTCTCCCAGTAATCTTCTTGCCGGTTTCTCTCCCTCATCATCATGTGAACTTTCAGCGGGGGACGGAGTACTTTCTTCAACTTCGTACCCCAATAATCTTCTCCCTAACTTCCCACCCTCATCCTTAGGTGATTTTTCACCTGGAATCGGACTTTGATCTTCGACTTCCCCTTGTATAAGGTGCCTCCAAGTAGGTTCAAGTAGCTGGAAGGGGTCTTGTTCCAATAGTTTCTCACCGTGGAATGGAGCCACGGTCGGTTGTCCATCGTCATCGGATGAAGAGGGAATGGCGGTGAAAACAATCACCATTCCGAGGAGAAACAAATGCAAGCAAGCTTTAGACATCTCTAAGATCATTGGTTTTTTGTGGCAATGTACTGAAATTGGTTCAGTTGGTTCCCTTTTATAATGAAGGAATGGCGTTGAAGTCACATTTTCCCTTCTATTTTTGGAACTTTCTTCTTTGATATTCCGTAGGAGATGCCATAATCCAAGGTCAAATGCATCTTTTGACATAGAAAGATTACCCTTAAATATTTAGGCATAGAGAAATTAAAATTTGGACCTTTACAATCTTAAATCATAAACCTTTACCAACACAAAAAGTTTCATTGAAAATCGTTGGTTAAACTTATAAGTAATAGCATACCCTAATGAATAAATAAAAGATTTGAATCTTGATATGTGTGGAGGAGTTAGGAGTATATATTAAACCAAAAACAATTTACTTTTTTATTAAGTTAAAGACATCGACTTACTCTGTGATCTACTCTGGTCTGATCCTAGTAAAGACATTCTGGGATGGGGTCCGAGTTATCGGGGAGTTTCCTACGTGTTCGGAGCTGATAGGGTGATGGATTGTCTCGAGAGGCTCGATATCAATATAATATGTCGAGCACACCAGGTTTAAATGCGTTTCACATGAAACATTTGTTGGATTTATTGCAGGAAATTACACTTTGTTGTTGTTGGTATTTGACAGATAATAGCTTTACTTAACATTCTTGCTTGAAGTCTGTTCCGACTCGATCTTTTCTTGTATTGATCACTTCATATCAGCATATCCGTACTCCCGCAAAGGCCGGCTACTCGACGAGGAACAAGATTGGGGAACAGAGAATGACATTCTACTGATACTTTGCCTCTTAAATACCGAGGATTTGGCTGTCGAGCATAAGTCTTCTTCTCCTCTAGAGGTACCTGCTTGTTTATTGTGCTTCGTATTTGTTTGATTAGCAAGCAACCTTTCTTCTTCCACATAATTTGTTCTCTTCCTATGAGGTTGCCATTTTGAAATGATGGAACCCTTTGATCATTAGAAGAATACGTCAAACGAGAGGACTTTTCCTTTAGGATCGGAGACGTTTCCATACCATCGGAATTGTCGAAAATTTCTTCATTCGTCCCACTTGAAGTTGCAGACTTTGCAGCTGCTACTGTTTCCCATATTTTGAATATAGCTTCTCTCAGATGTCCTCTAGCCGTATCGATGTCGATTACCGTTTTTGGATAGTTTAACCTCAACTCCACACTGGCGGATTTAAGCTCGGTAAGAGGTGCATCCCAAGGATGATGGATCCACTCGGTCGGCATCCTAGCTAGCTCTGGCAGCCATTGCCTTATAAATTCACCTTCAGGGTCGAATTTCAACCCATGAATCTGACTCGAAAACAAAAATCAACTTAGGAAAATACTTGTTTCTATTATTCTTTAAGGGAAATCAACTTAGGAAAATACTTGTTGCTAGGGCGAGAGGTAACGTCAATGTTGTGCGAGCTATCGAGGTATAATTTGAAGTTTATCTCTGATAGTTGTCAGCATTTTTAAAACCTTCTAACAGCTTTGAATCACATTTATCTTTTCTTCTTTCGATGCTCTGTAGGAACACATATGTTTGTTCTCTGGTTGGATGCGAGAAATTCATGGGCCAGGATTCATCGAAATGTTTGTTCCTCAATTGGTTTCAAGAAAAGTGTGGGTATTAGTGTACAGAATGGTTTTTATTTCGGTTGGTTTTTGCTTGTTTGTTGCGTTATGCCATGGAAGCAATATGCCTCGATGATTCCTATTAATGTAAACCTTAGTTTGCTGCCAGTCGATAGCATTTTCGTTTTCTAAATAAATTGTGTATCTTCTCATTAATGTATTGCTTGCAGTTGGGTGGTTGTTCTACCAACTGGTTTGCGTAATCATACAACGCCTCTGAAGTTGGGGCTGGCGACGTACTCCAGTTTGCAGGTATAGCAAGTTTAATTACAATCTCTCTCGTTCTGTTTTTAATTTATAGCAATCTAAGGATGCAATGAAAGGTAAAGTGAGCCGAAGATTAAACACTGAAAACTCTTCAACCTCAGCTAAACATCCTTGTGTCTTTGTCCAAGCTCAAATAATGACTGAAAAGTCGATACACAAGCTTGTCTTAAACTGCCCTGAATCCGAACATCAAACTAGCTTCAGCTTTCTTAAATACTTATGGAGGTATTATGTGTATAAATAATGAGTTAACTTACTATATAATGGTATTAGATGTCTAAAATTCCGAGTGTGCAAGGTCCATATTAACGATATATCTTCTAGTAATCGGTTCGTAAGCTCAAACAAGGATTCTTAGGGGGATCTGGAATTATTACCTCAACCATTGTAAGCTGGAGTTATTGCCTCGAGGCATGGAAGGCAGAGGTGAAGTGCTTGCACCTCCAGAGAGGCAAGGTGTAAGCATGGTATTTACCTGTTATTTAGAAAACCCCTGAACCTGACTGAAGTTTCATGTAGACATGATAAAACTAGGATTCTTTGATATCGGAAATCACTGGGGCTCTAAATTGCAGCCTCCCCGTTCTTTGGATAAAGGTTTAGTTTCCCCTCGTGACTGATTCACCAATAATTAGGTGAAAACCAGTTATTAGCTTTGATGCTTGGATACTTTACTACCTTCATTTGTTTCAGCTTTTGGACGATTAGCGATAAATGCATGTTTTCTTCATTGCAACTCACATCAACAAAGTCTGGTTCTTTTCCAGAAATGCGAATTAAACTTGCACCTGGCAAAGAAAATGACATGCTGCAGCTTCGGTGGTTTTGTGATGCATGCAAAGGAATTCCACAGGTATTATTCACCCTTTAATATACAGTTTTTCCCTACGTTAACCGGACTTCATTTTTCATGAAGCACGACACTCATGTCCGACATTTGGATAGGGGATATGACATCCAAAGATCCCTTAAAATATAAGGAAAAACCCGGAAAATCTAACGATAACCACATGTCCGACACTTCACCCGACCCGAGTCCGAGTAACATAGTTTTTTCCATTTATGATTCTTTGTAAAGCCATTATCAATCAGAAGTTGAATTCTCTTATCATCACAATCATATTTCCTCCAGGTTTTTTTTTCCTGTTAGAGATTGTTGGATCCTCCTGTTAATGTAATTTAGTGATGGGTACACTTTTACAAATACGAACATTTTGTTCATGATGCTTTCTGGTAAATTTTTATGTTGAATCTCCAATTTCTTTATGGCATTGGAATATGTAGGCAAGGATTCCTGCATTTCTGCATAATTCTCACCCTCCGGCTGCTCCAGCAACTGCACCACCGGATGCTGAGGATTTAGAATTAGCAGTGGCAATCAATGCCTCTATCCAGTCAGCTATTGCAGAGACATCCGATTACGATTTGCACTCTGCCAATGAAACTAGTGCATCTGCTGGGTGGAATAGCTCCGCAAGTACTAGCAATCACAACGGTTCAGTAGCACCAACAACATTTCCACCTTCAAAAGCGAGTATCAGCGAATGGGATATGATCGAAGCTGGTTCTGGTAGCGATTCAACCGAGGGCACCGAGATCCATAATAATGATATTTCTGCTATCCATACGACAATGCAAACCTCGGATTCAGTCCCATCAGCTCCACAGGCACCCGCCATGGATGAGATTGTAGAAGATGGCCGATTCAATATCCATCGACTGATTCCACTCCTATCGATCTGTCTTCCTCGAACAGCGAAACCTTACATCCTAGTGCTGGTCAAACAAAACAAGATGAATCTCCTTCATGTAAAATATGTCTGGATGCACCATCGGAAGCAGCCTGCGTTCCTTGCGGCCATGTCGCAAGATGTATGCCTTGCCTGAATGAGATCAAAACCAAGAAATGGGGTTGCCCCGTTTGCCGTGCCGATATTCAGCAGGTTATAAAGCTTTATCGTGTTTGAATTGCATATCATGTGTGCTTGTTGCAATGATTTCTGCACATTGAACAAATTTGTTTCTTGTTTGCTTTTTAAACTATATTTTTTCCAGTTTTACTTGGAAAAGAGACATTTCATGTATAATTGCTGTAAAAAATGTTTGTATAAATAGAGATATAGCATTGCCTTAACAATATTCAGGTCAGCGACATACATATAGATTGATAATGATTAAATTATAATTTAAAAATGTATTCGTTTGTAATGTGATTATAAGTTAATGGCTTTAAGTGTATTTAACCAAAAGTATAAACGCTGTAAATTGAGTTGGTGTGAAATAGATAAAATGCTGTTTGTTTGAATGGCATCCAGACAAGATTAAGGCTGCAGCCATTGCTCACATCAATGAACTGTGCTTTGATGGACTGGTGCATTCAGGGTGATGCAATTGCAAGTAAGTTAGTAAAGGGTATCCTAGTCAATTTAATTCAAAAAATTGAAGGATAAAGTAGATAAATAATTATAAGATATTATTTTATTAATTCTTTTAATTATTAAAAATTATAAAATCATCTTCTTACTATAGGATTGTTTTATTGAGTCACTCTACTATTTAAAATTACAAAATGATAATCCAAAAATCTCAAACGACTATCATATCTCAGTCGTCATGTTAATGTCCAAGTTAGATAACCGTCAATTTTTTAACAAAAATGAAGCGTTTAGAACATAATAAATAAGTTGATGATCATTTTATAGTTTTTAATAATCAATGAAACTCAATAAAATAATATTTTATAGTCGGAAATTTATCTTATAACTTATATTAGTTGAAGAACTTAATAAAACATTATCTTATAATCGAAAGACTATTTATTTAATTTACTAGTCACTAAAAAATTTTAAAAAAAATAAAAATAAAATGTGAAGAAACAAACTCATATTATTCTATTTTTAGGATAAAATATATTGAAGGTATCTAATCTATATTTAAATTATCGTTTTAATCATTGAATTTTATTCATTTGTTATAAGTTGATTATTAAATTAAATTATGATTAATAATTATAAAATTATAATTTTATGATAAATTTAATTTTAAAAATTTTATTGACTGGAATAATCATTTAAATATAATTTAATGATCTTTAACATAATTTTACCATTTCTTTAACCCTTATGAATTCTCCATCAATCATATGTCATTTCACTTGTTTTTTTTACTCACAGTTCCAAAAGCAACCCTCCCATGAAAACCCTAGAAAATGTTCGTTTCCCTTAACTTTTACCCTATTTCACCATGGCCTGTCGTACTCAGTGTTCATTAAACGTCTTTGCAGTGAAACTCTGAGTTTCACTGAGAGTTTTTATTTACTCTTATTTGTTTTTTTTTTTCTTTTTGCAGGGATTAAAGTTGAAAAATAGGATACCACATTAAGGCATGATCATATGAAGTCTTCTAGGATTGATCAGACAAAGAAACCTCAAAGAAAACAAAGGGTCTCTTACTAGACCTCGCTGCTGGCTAGGTTATATGCATGTTTTGACTTTGAATCTGTCATCTTCTTCAAGCTTTTGCTCCCATGGCGGCCTTTTTTTAGTAATCCTAGGTTAAAGAAGACACTCACCTGCTCTTTTTCTTGCAGAACATAGTGTTTTTTTTATGTTACTTTGAGATCGACGAAGTACTGTTCATCCTCCTCCTTTTGGTTTCCTTTTTTTTGTGTTTTGGATATGGATTGTCTTCAGGGTTTCGAAACCTTGAATTCTAACTCTTCTTCTACTGCTTTTTCCGGGATCCTGGCGATGACCACCGCGGCCACCGCCGGAAACGGAAACGGGAACCCTTTATCGGTGACGGTTTCCTCCTCCTCCACTTCTCCGACCACTCTAAGCCGCTACGAGAACCAAAAGCGCCGTGACTGGAACACTTTCGGCCAATACCTCTGCAACCACCGTCCGCCTCTCTCGCTCTCCCGCTGCAGCGGCGCACACGTCCTGGAATTCCTCCGGTACCTCGACCAGTTCGGGAAAACCAAAATCCACACCCCGCTTTGCCCTTTCTTTGGCCACCCTAATCCTCCGGTTCCATGTCCCTGCCCTCTCCGTCAAGCTTGGGGAAGCCTCGACGCTCTCATCGGCCGCCTCCGTGCCGCCTTCGAGGAGCACGGAGGCAAGCCCGAAGCAAATCCGTTCGGTGCTAGAGCTGTTAGGCTTTACCTACGTGAGGTTCGTGATTCACAGTCCAAGGCCAGAGGCATAAGCTACGAGAAGAAGAAAAGGAAACGACCACCGCAAGCTCCTCCATCTCTTCCGCCATCAAACGTCAATCAAAATCAGTAAGCAAAAAGAAAAAAAAATCTTCAAGTATCCACCAGCTGCACGAAAAAAAAACATGGACTTATGCTGCCTTAATTATTACATAACTATTTGTAGTAACCTAAGATCTATGTGAATTTCAACATCCAATTTGTCTTTAGATTTGTACTTTCGATAAGCCATTTATGACGAGTTTAGATTTGCAGATCAAGTCGTGTGGTCTGTTCTTCAATGGTTATTTCCTGTTTTAGTAATCTTTTATGTTCATCGTTTACTTTTCTCTTCTTTTTGATTCAGACAAAGAAACGGTGCCTTAAAACACATGGGAAGTTCCATGTTTAGAGAAAATCAGTCGCAGATTATCATAATGGGTGTAATAAAAATGGGGATTTGGGCCTTTTGTCTTGGTCTAGACAGATATTGGGACGAATCCATCTCCCATTTCTGTCATGTCTGTTCCCACAAGAGGGAGAATTCTTTTCAATTTTTATTATTGATTTTTAAGAGATCTTCACATGAACCCTAATATGCAGCTACCATAACCTGGATTTGGTTATATATATATACTAATTTTTCTCTTTGGTATTTGGTTTCCATGATTGATTCATATACAGTTGCAGCCATTATCTGAAGGAGAAATTCATGTTTGAAACATGTTTTTCCTTGGGTTTTATTCATGCATCATAATCATGCATGCTATATATATATTATATATGCATCTTTTTGTTTAGAATGAAGCCCTAGTTCTTTCGAATTATAGCTAGGGTTTTTTTAGATGCATTGTATGTTGGTGGATACAGGATATATATATATAGAGGGAGAGGGAGAGGGAGAGGGAGAGGGAGAGGGAGAGGATTCATTTATACTATGTAAAACTAAAATTTTATATCACTTAGGGGTAGTTTGTTGATTTCGGAATGATTTAAATGTCGAATGATCAGAGGTTCTGAATAATTTAACTCTGAATGTAACATGTTTTATAATAGTTCTGAATGATTTAGAATATATTTCTGTACTGAATCATTCAGTATTATTTGTTGAATCAGTCAGCAATAAATTATTTAGAGATGTGAAATAAACGCTTTGAATGTTAAACGATTTAGCATTTAACGTTGAATGATTTTATTAAGAGGCAAACAAATAGTTCTCTAGTTTATATAAAATTAAGTTTTAAATCAAATGTTGAGATTAATTTTTTAATTTTTTTGTAAATATTTTTAATCTATTCTTTTAATTTTCCTCCCATCTATGATCCTAAAAAAATGATTTTTTTTAGTTTTACAATATATAATTTAATAGGGGTAGGATTTAATTATATTATATTAATTTTTTTAATTTTATATTTTTTAAAATTATTAGATGAGAGAGATTAATAATTAAAATTAATAATAGAAAATTAAAAAATATATTTATAGTAAAAAAAAGAATTAATCTTAGTTTTTGATTTTTTTAATCAAATGATTTTAAAGAAATGAAAAACTAAAAGTATTTTCACACAAATGTAATTAAATCTTAATCTATATTTATATATATATATATATATTGATGCCATGTAATTTCATATAAGCTCTCTTCAGTTGATTAACTAAATATATAAAAAAAAATTAAGTTGAAAGCTTATTATTACAAGGGACTGTTATTTTGACTAAAGCTGGACATCATTATGTGATATGTTTAAGATTTTGTTGGGATCAAAGTTGATACTAAAGACCTTCTTTTAGGTGTAATTATCTTCAACTTGCGTTATTTATAATATCTAAATTTAAATTCTAAATATCTTTCAAAGAAATAACGTCTTATCGTATTGGATGAACTAGTAATCAATTGCTATTTGGAACATAATTAGCGGTCTTAAGATTAAATAATGCTGTGCTGTTCTTGAATTCTTTATCTGAGCTATATTCTGATATTTAAATCTAAATAAAAATTAAATCAAACTTTTAATGGGATAATATAAAATCAAGCACAATGACAATAGTAACCTAAACATATTCTAACAAGATCATTATATAATGAAATTGAAATAAAATTTAAACCTAAAAGGCTAAAACCATTACATAATGAGATAAAAACCTGGGGCGTTTTTATTTAAAAAAAACCCAAAAAAATCATTTATCGGAAAAGTAACAACCAAGTATTAATAGGAAAAATATCTCTCAAATTGTCTATGAATGATTATCTCGAGCTCTATAAAATGTGTTTAATGGGTGTCATTTTTTAGTGGACGCGATATTCATCAACTTTTCATATACATTTATTTATATTTTTGGATAAAAGAAACAAGAAAATATATGAAACTCGTTTTTTTCGTAAAATGCGAGATATGACCTTATTTTTTACAAAACGCGAAATCATCATACTTGGGTAATTTGAGAGTTATTTTTTCAATAAATTAGTTTTTTCGGGATTTTTTAAATAATAACGCCTAAACCTGAGATATCGAAATTTTCAGTGCCTCGGCAGTGATAATAACCTAATGCCTTATTTTGGTAATAAAAAATTAATAAGGACGTATTTGCAATCTTTATGCGTACGTGTATTTCATTTTTACCCACCAAACTCTCATTACCGTACCTTTGCATCACCATTAAATTTTTTATAGTGAGATATTAATGCGAAATAAAAATTAAACGTTATATATGATTATAAAAAAATAAAAATTTAAATATTAAAAATGATTAAAACTTATAATTTAAAAATTAAACGCGTAATTTATCCAAAATATATTGTACCCCACTGGTTACTGGTTCTTCCCTTTGATGCATGCTGAAAGCTGACAGAACCTGAACCATCGGGTGCTCCTTTTATCACTTGTCATTTATGTCTGTCTCCCATATCCATCCCTCTAAGATCTTGCCACGTGGATGGACTTTTACCCGTTGATGCATGATTTTACCCCACTTCCTGATGATGTGGGACATCACTTGTATATGTAATAGGGATGTTGAAAAATGCTCGATTGATTTAATCCGTTGATATGCTAATTCGTTGGTTAATTCTCTAAAAAAAATATATATCTGATTTAACTACGTTTTCAAAATAATGGGATGTACTTGACCCCTATGATGGCTTAGTGCATCCGCCACTAATTAACATCATCTTTTTTTTTGTTAGGTCAACTATTAAATCTAATTATAAATTACTAAAATCAGAACGAAATTTAATGTTAGATATGATTTTATAAGAAAAATAATTGGACAATAAAAAATAGGGCATTATTTATTTTTAAAAACCCATAATTTTTTTTTAAGAATAACCCCTTAGCAAATTTGTTAGAAAATACCCCAAACTGTCCTCTTAACACTACCTCACGTCTTATAAAACGTGTTTAATGGGCCTCGAGTTTTATAGGGGGCGAGATCTAAATCCCGGTAGAATTTCCCGTGTCATACTCTTTATAGACCTAAAGACATTTCATGATAACTTGGATGGTCATTTTGAACGAATTAACTTATTTTGGTCTTCAAGAAAGATTTTGTGTTTTGTGACTATGAACATGAGACTAAGGGCCATATTCTTTTGATTTTCGGGATCTTGAGAGCTTGTAATTTACACCGAGGAGTAATAAACTGACTCTCAAAATCAGGACAATACTGAAAGTAGTAGGTAGAGACGATCGTCGTTCTAAAAATTTTAAATTTCTATATGATTTGGATAGAGAAAAATGTTAATATCTTCCGAGAAAAATAAGTTAGAGAATAGGTTATAATTTGTCGGATAAAAGAAGCTATTAGATGGAAGCTGCTAGGTAAGACTATACATAGGATGAATGTTGTCAATTGATTTATTCGTATTATTTGCAATAGGATTGCTACTTCAAGATAAATAAAAAATGTATTTGTCCAAAAAAGAAAAAGAAAATCATTAGGAAGTTTAGGGTTAAAAGTGGTGGAAGGTAAATCAAAACCAAGGTCATGTTCCTTTTACAAGTCTATGATTATTTCAAAATAAAACGAGATTACGTTACGTCTCGTCGGACCGAAACTCTGTAAGCGTGACAATTTGATGTAACCCATCACCAGCTGTTTCTCTTGGGTTGGTACCCTGTTTCTGTCGATCCATAGGAAATTTGTTTCTTTGAGTGGGGACACAATTTTATGTGCCTTACAACTTTGAGTATCAAAATTTCCTTCCATTTACTCCAATGCTACTCGTTTGTTTTTTTCCTTTCTTTCTTTCAAACTACGACTTAATTTTATTAGTCCATTCAGTCAAAATAATAGTATTTTAAAAGGTTTTAACCGGAACCAAATTCACATGTTTAAGCACCAACGATCGCAGTAGAATGATTGAACGTTTATTATCAAATAATTGAGAATATTTTATAATCGCTTTAATTTAATAAAAAAAAGTTTAAAATTCCATCTTGTGAAATAGGCTCAAAAATTATTTTATTTAAGTTCGAAGTTCGAATTTTATAACCCGTACCCCAAGGACCAATCTCTCTCTCTATATGAAAGCACTCCAACCCTCAAATTTTCAGACAACTTGCGATTCGTGGTTGGAATTTTGTATGGTATAATTAGAAGCCTACAAACACCGGTCATACTGATCCATGGCCAGTCCAGGTTAGCTTAAAAGAGTGAGCTGAACTTAAATCTAACTGTCAACCTAGCCATTAACAAGCACATGCATTGCCCAACATTTTCCTGTCTCTAAGAATAGGTGATCATGTTACTTTGACATTGTAGCCACGCAACACATCATGTTTCAAAAAGGTTTTTTTTTTCTTTTGGGTAAACTACGCATTTAACACCTAAACTATTAGTTTGGCTAGTTTCAATACCTAAACTTTCGATTTTTTCAAGACTTAATGTTAAATTTTGAGTAGGGGAACTAAAACAAAATAAAAGCTAAGTTTTTAACGATGAGTTACTAAAATAAAATAAAAACTAAATTTCAAGTATGGGGTTTGAAAAAAATTAAAATTTTAGATACTAAAACAGACCAAAACTGATAATTTAGATATTAAACGCGCAATTTACCCTTTTTCACGTTTACATTCGACTTATATATTTTTTTGATAGAAAGTCGCTAGTTTTATTAAAAATATAAAATATTCAAAATTACAATGAAGATTTACAAGCATAATCATAAGATTTAAATATAATTATGATATTTTTCTATTACCATTGAGACAAAAAGTAGTCATCTAGATCACATAAGGACCAAAGAATGAAAAAGTTAAAAAAACCTAACCAAAGACTCGAA